CCATTCTATGATTCTATGAATGATACCAGAAACAAGTTTTGTATCTTCCCGGTCCCTGCCACATCTTCGAGAGGATCCCAGACAACAGGAATAAGTTATACAAGGTGAACAAAGCTCTGAAATTCCAAGCAAACTACAACTGCAGTGAAGTGCATGAAGGTCCTGAAGAGCCCTATCAATTTGAGCATTTCAAGACCAAGCGTAGACGAGCAGATACCAGGTAGATCAAAGCTGCAGCAGCTGTGCCTTAGCTTGGATGTCTTGGCTTTGACACTACCCTTGCTACACTCCATTGAAAATTTGCTCTGGAGGGAGGAATTAAGTCACAGAGAAGAGACTACATAGTGGTTCACTGGGAAGTTGCAATGTGAAACAGGGAGAGCACAGGATGCCACACTGAAGCATAGTCTCTTGGCAACCTTTTTGCTCAGACACATTTTTCAGCAACTCAGGTTTTGCCTTTTCTAGATTTACAGCAGTCAAGAAGCAGTGGTAATTCTGCCCAGCAATTTAAAACAAGGAGGGTGGTTTCAAGGCATGCCAGGGTAACAGGAATACTTTTGTGTTCTAGTACATTTAGACTGCAGAGGGGTTTTATTTCCCCAAGAATGCAGCAGCAGCAAGTTTGCACTACAGAATTCTGGAAGCTTCTCTACATTGAAAACAAAGGTGGAAAGACACAAAGGTATCTTATCCATGAAGTCAGAGGGCTTCCCAGGGACTTCAACCTGAAGCATAATATGGTTAATTTCAAACAATTTTCATTTCCTTCTATAAACCAGCCTCATTAGTTAATTTGAAGTCGTTAGAGCATTGCTTATTCTGATGAAGTTTCCGATTCATAACCTGCTTCTAAGTCTGCTAACTCCACTGAAGTTTTATTGCCACAGTTATAATGATTCAAACACGTTCATAAAACCTTGAGATCATTAAAATCACTGCGTATAACGAGTCCTAACATCCCAATCAAGTGACCCCTGAAGATTTATATTCCCATTTGCTTTTGCACGTACTATTTCCATGGTCTTAAAAATACCAATCAGTTGAACAGATTTACAAGACAAACTTCAGCACAGGTGGAATTCCCTTTCCTCAGCATTCCTGACCTCCAAATGGGAATACAAGCGAGAAATGTGATATCATAAATGCTTGCTCAGCAGTAAAACAGAGCCTCTTTGCACATATCAAAGATCAATGTTGTAAACGTTTATGACAGTATTGTATATGGCTGCTAGCTTAGGAAAGAAAAGCCAATATAATATTCCTTTGGGGTACTGACCAACTAATGTAAACATATCCAAAGACAGATTTTTAGTGTAATTTATTGAAGAAGGAAACCAGAAAAATTAAGTGAACAGTTTATAAACATGTTTGGCTTGATCTTATATTTAGTGGGTTTATAACAACAAATTCAATGTAAAAAGTTGGTATTTAAGCATGCACTGAACATACTACTAAAGAGGTGACTAGAACCAGTAACGTACATGTAAAGTATTGACTCCTCCATCAGTAAAAAAATTGAAAGCCTTTGCCCGAAGCTGAGAACTGTCTCTCTTTTTATTATTATTTATGGCTTCTCGCAAATTTATTCATTAACAATTTATTTTCAGTCACAAACTGAATTTGATTATATCCCAAATAATAAAAATAAGACAGAACTTGTGATACTAAGCTTCATTTTGTGACAGAATTAAAGAGGAAATCCAAGGCTACTCAAACATCTCAAGACTGAACAATTTAACATATCACAAAAACTGATATGTAAAGAAGGAAGGTATAAAAAGAACTTAAATCCCAAGATATGCTGCAGATACTGAAAACCAGCCTTCCTGTATTGAGATATTTTAAGAGTGCTACTGTACAAAATTAGGAAAAGCAGTATTATAGTGCATATTTTAAAAAATGCTGCTCTCAAATAATACCCTTTGCAAACTCAAACAACAATTCTGCCCAAGTGCCAAGTGATTATTTCCTATCTTGTATTCACAGCGTTATTTGAGGTTGCTTGAAAGGGCCATGACAACAAACAAAATCCTGACTAAAGCCACAAGAAATAAGTCATCATGATTAAATGAGAAAGTAATCCAACCAGCATTGTTTTTCAAGTGACATGGTTAATAGACAGGCACAAGACCATAACTGGATACTAAATACCACTTCACAAAGTGAAAACAGCGGTTCATCTGGCAGTAAAGCCAGATCTCCTCAGGACTTCTCATATTGCTGCCTGATCTTTTATTTCCATTTTTTTTATGCTTGACTGCAGTGATTTGGAAGCATCTTTCACTTGCAGTGCTTTTGTATTGCATTTTAACACACCACCAGTTTCCACTGGAAAACATAGTTTTCCTGTCTCTATAGTGGTGTTTAAATCCTCCAGTGAAATGACTCACCATGGTTCCAAAGGGTATAGCTCTTGAAGCATGATAATAGATGGCAATGAAGTTAATGAAGAAGGCAGTTCCACACACCATTGCTGGAATAAGGAAGGCTCCAATGAACATCTGCTTTATCCATCGCCTTCCTGTAAGAAAGGATATTTCAATGGGACTGGTGAGATACAGTGTATTCTGTTTAAAAAGTCAGCAGCAAGCTCTCCAAAATTTAGGTGTTTGACTACTCCCCTAAAAAGGGCAAAGAAATAAGCAACAACATACCACATCGATACAGGAGCAAAAAGTCAATTAACAGTTTCATTTGACTCCCAACAACTCACAAGATGCAGCACATTAATCGATTTATTTGGCCAGGTGAAAAGACAGGAAAAGGGATACAGCACGAGAAGATTTCAGCTGAAGAACAGCATATGCTGACTAAGCTGGCCAAAGAAACTGCTGTATTGGAACTTAAGTGTGTATGTAAGCTGTAGATCAGTAGAGACAGAGATAGCAGAGCTGACCCTGTGCAGAGACTGCTCACACCCTGGGAACAAGTGAGAGCTCAGCACTGCTCCCAGGACAACTCAGCACCACAGCTGCTTTCAGGCAGCACCTGCTACAGGCTGTCTTGACCCAACTAAGCTGACTCCATACATTCAGGATGCACTATGGAACTGGCTATCCCTGCTATAAAGCAAAATCCCACAGCATTTAATTTACAGCAGAATTAACGCAGATATCTTCCACAGCAGAAAAGGTAGACGGAAAATTATTTCTAAACCCCAGGCATAAAGGGAACAGCAACACTTGTTAGCAGTTATGAAGTTTAAAGCTCCCCGAGAAGCTAAAAACCCTTGAGCAATACCTTATGAATTTTCACTGCCTGTATTCCCTTTTTTTCTATGCTACTACTGCGTATATTTAAATTTAATACACCACAGATGCATCTGTAATATGTACTAAATAAAAAGTTAGAAAACTAGCACAGGCTTTTCAAGACCATCATATGTATTTTCACCATAAGCCAACATAATCAGCATTTCACACTTTGATAAGTATTTGCTCTGTAAACAAAAAAAAGAAAAATCTGTTTCAACTACACAGCATGGTACATATCAGAAGAGCAACCCTAATTTACCTATGCCTGCTTTTCTACAAATTGCTAGGTTTATACCCAAGCCACATGAAAAGAAACGCCTAACCTCCAAACATAGCAGAACAGAACGCAGTTGCGACTGAATACTAACAAGTACGTTGTGCTAAAAAGATACAAATTTTCTTCTGTGAACTTACCAGAATTATTTTTTCTAAAGCACTGTAGAAGATAATAGATATTGATTACTCTTTTATTGCAGCACAGGGAATGGATGAAGCTAGTGGACTGCAAAGATGTAATTGGTCATAACACAGAGGCATAGTGGGGAGCACTTGAAGACAGCCTGTCCAAATCCGTTATGTCAGTTTTACTAGGCTTCTGCTCTCTACTGATACTCATTTTGAATTTGCTAAGTATAAAGCAGAACACATGCTGGAAAGTAGAATAACCTTCTTTAAAAGACGCTATAAACTGTTTCCCCCATCCACAATTAATGGTCTAGTAAGTACTGTATACTCATCCTTTCCGTATTAGCAAACACAACACTGGCCCCCTGGTACCTACAGAAGAGGGCTATGTAGGAGTCATCTGGAGAAGATGACATGAGCTGTTTAACCGCGTGTTACAGAAGAGGGAGAGACTATTATACTCTCTGGGTGTCATGAGCCAAACAACTATATACAAGAGCATAATGAGCAACTCGTAAGACAGAGCTGTAACAGTGCTATAGCTCTTACTACTTTCAAATTAACCAAAGACTTAGCTATCGAGTTAGAAAATGCAGCCAATACTGAATAGGAAATAGCATAGAAGTTAAATATACTCAAAATACTTTCTGTTTATGAAGAATTTAACAGATTCCTTCTGAATGGCCTAATGCCATGAGGATACTTGTATATTAGTGCAAATCAGAAAACAGTAACTTCTCCATTAACAATGCAATGAAAAGGCTGAAACATGAAAACAGTTTACCTCCTTGTCTAGCATAAAGGCTTCCTCCAAAATATCCATTCACAGGCGATGTTGCAGCATAAACAAATATAGCTGTACTAAGCATTGATCCTCTCCTACAAGAAGTGATTTTTTTGGTAAATGAAACAGAAAACAGTATTAGAGCAGAAGAACACAGTAAAAAAAATGAACATTTAGCAGAAGAAATTATCTAATATTTTTAGGCAATGTAAAAAATGTACAGTGCTTAAATTGTGAAATCTGCAAAAGAACAGAACTGTTTGTATCCAAAGCTTCTGGCCAAGTCTAATTCAATCTCGAAAATAGAGTTCTGACATACTACATCCTTTTCTAACATGCACTGACTTTCACTGGAGTATAAAACTTCACCTCTGACCAAAATACTCTGACATTTGGATGTGCGTACTTTGTGTCTAAGGAACTGAACGATTTACACGACATAGTTAAGTGTAAGGCTCAACTACTGCAGAGAAAAGGCCCTCTTTATATAAAGACCAGTATTAACAAAAGTAAACTAAAATTGTGAATGATGTTTCTGCCATCCCTCAGAAATTAGCTTTTAAGATCAAAAATGTTCATCTTACAGAAAATGAGAAAACCTGATTTAGAAACTATAAATACTATAATGAAGCCACAAATCAGCATTGATCAGAAGAGTTTAGTCATTTTTAAATCACCACCTCATTAAATGTTGGAGTACTCATTTTGGCATATTTTTTCCTGAAATTTTACTAGCAGAGCCAATAATTTTAAATCACAAAAGCCATCTCCAAATACATTTTTAAAATCATGTCTAAGAATAGCAAGACATAGATATTATTCATGAATAGAGCTGTTCCCCCATGTCCCTCTGCTACTCTTCAATAGCAAAGAGCAGAAGGTTTTCAGCCAGCTTGCTTCACTTTCTTCAAATCAGTTGTTCTGAAGATTCAACTGTTGGCATTTTGGCTTTTGATGAACCATTACTGGTTGCCTGCCCTACTCAAAGAAGTAATCCTTAGTACAACCGGATTCCATGACTGCGCGGATTGAACTAAGCAAGTAAACCTGCTGGTCACACACACTAAAGCAGCATTATACTAACATTCGCTTCTTAAAAATAAAGAAATGAAAGCTATAGGTCCATTTTAGAAAGCTACAGGTTAGACAGAAACCAATTTTAATATCTCTCCTAGCTTAAGACAATTTAGAAACACACACAAAGCCCCAGAAGACCATGCACAGTCTGAAGTAACACATGTAAATCCAGGCTACCTCTAAAATGACCAGCAGTTGTTCATCTAAAATTATCTCAAAGTTTGCTGTTCTCAAGCTTACTCACTTATGTTTCATACATTCTAATGGAAAATCTTCTCAAAACACAAACCAGTACTAATAAATTAATAGCTGACATGACCAAATTTCACTGAGACACTTTCACTTGGCATCAGCTGCATGATCCCTAGGAGTTTTAACAGACCTGAAGAACTCTGACAAGCAATCATTCTTGTAATTCTGGTTTACAGCCTTCTTTACTCACATCACTATTTTCCTAAACGTAAGAATTACCTGCTCAGATTTGGTCAATTGTTCCATTACACACCCAGAATTAAATTCACTTTGAATGAGATATAAAAGCCTATTACAATAAAAGACTAAGTGCACATACATTATTTTTAATTACTGTTCTGACAGATTTTACAATTGCCATTACTAACTTGCAGCTTCCCTACAGTGCACAAACATTGTGAAATGCATTCATTCCCTCCCCTGAAGGGCTGACATGCTGTACAATTAAAAATGTCTATGTAAGTCTATACAGAAATGTAACCATGGGGCACAAGGGGGGAATAATACCATATGAAAAATTAAAATATGCGAAGATACTGGTACTACAGAGTGGCTTTTTAAACACACCATGAAGAGGCAGCTAAATTCAAAACCAAGAGTTCTCTCTAGTGGCACATTAGAAGTATTACAACAAAGCACTTGTAAAAAAAATATTTCCCCCACTAGCCAAAACATGATCACTACAGAAACAGATGAAGTCCATCCAAGACAGCAAAAATCTCAAACAGATAAAATGCAAAAAAGGAAGAGAATTAGGTGAACTGCAAGTAGTGTGTTAAATTTAAGCTTGAGTACTTTTTGCTTGTTTGAAGCAAATTCTCTCCAGTCAGGACCACAGCCCACCTATTGCTGGAGTTCTGGGCTGGGATGGAGTTAGTTTTCTTCGGAGCAGCTAGTATGGGGCTGGTTTGGATTTGTGCTGGAAAAAGGACTGATAACCCAGGGATGTTTCCATTGTTGTTGAGCAGTGCTTACACAGAGTCAAGGACTTTCCTGCTTCTTACACAACCCTACCAGCAACTAGGCTGGGGGTCCACAAGGTGTTGGGAGGGGACACAGCCGGGACAGCTGACTCCAAGTGCCCAAAGGGATATTCCGTTACATATGACATCATGCACTGCATATAGAGCAGGGGAAGGAGGAGGAAGGGAAGGACGCTCGGAGTTACAGCGTTTGTCTTCCCAAGTAACCATTACACGTGATGGAGCACTGCTTTCCTGGAGATGACTCAACGCCTCCCTGCCGGTGGGAAGTGGTGAATGGATTCCTTGGTTTGCTTTGCGTGGCTTTTGCTTTACAGATTGAACTGTCTTTATCTCAACCCATGACTTCTCATTTTTACTCTTCTGATGGACCACAGCCCACCTATTGCTGGAGTTCTGGGCTGGGATGGAGTTAGTTTTCTTCGGAGCAGCTAGTATGGGGCTGGTTTGGATTTGTGCTGGAAAAAGGACTGATAACCCAGGGATGTTTCCATTGTTGTTGAGCAGTGCTTACACAGAGTCAAGGACTTTCCTGCTTCTTACACAACCCTACCAGCAACTAGGCTGGGGGTCCACAAGGTGTTGGGAGGGGACACAGCCCAGCCGGGTGACTCCAAGTGCCCAAAGGGATATTCCGTTACATATGACATCATGCACTGCATATAGAGCAGGGGAAGGAGGAGGAAGGGAAGGACGCTCGGAGTTACAGCGTTTGTCTTCCCAAGTAACCATTACACGTGATGGAGCACTGCTTTCCTGGAGATGACTCAACGCCTCCCTGCCGGTGGGAAGTGGTGAATGGATTCCTTGGTTTGCTTTGCGTGGCTTTTGCTTTACAGACTGAACTGTCTTTCTCTCAACCCATGACTTCTCATTTTTACTCTTCTGATTGTCTCTCCCATCCCACTGGAGGGAAGTGAGCAAGCAGCTATGTGGGTCTTAGTTGCCAGCCGGGGTTAAACAATGACAACATGCAACACAAGCAGAGCAGCATCAGTGCGAAAGAACTTAAGAAACTTCATCTCCATTCCCGAGACTGGCTTAATGCACTGTCAGCAGTAAAAAGGACTATTGACAACACATTACACTCCTACTTCAGTCTTTACTGGACACAGCAGCAAATAAAGGGTAAGAAATACAGTAATATCTTGGCACTCCAGACGAAACCAGGAGTGAAATGTGTACCTTTTAACATTTATTTCCCATATAATCTACCCATAATGCTGCAGAGCGTCAAACTAGTTTCATAATAAATTGCGTAAAAAGCAAGCATTAAAAGAGTACAATTAAAGGCGACCATCTCACATAAGAGCAGGACAAAGTTCCATTACAACTTAAAAGAGCCTTTCTGAATACTCCATCTGATCTAAAGATAAAGACTAAGGACTCTCCAACACTTTTTTCCAGGCCAGTTAGAAGATTCATTTTTGTAATGATTTTGTTCAGTTAAGCATTTATATGCTGAAAGCACAGCACAATTATACTCACTCTGTGTACAAATCTTCTATCATTGCAACAACAATGACTATCAGAGACACAGCAAAAATTTGACAACCAGAACCAATAAGCGATGAAAATATCAGAGGATGACTGGATGGTCTAAAAACATCTCCATGGACCTGCTTCCACCCATACTCGTCTCCTAGATCTCTGTCCTAGGCACAAGAACAAAAAAATGTTTAAGTCTAATCATGACAATTAATGCCAAACACACAAACTAGGCATAAAGGTTTGATTTATTAAATCAACTTCAAGAGCAAGCATGTCTCCTCTCCTAAATGCATCAAATCTGGGAGAAAAGTTCACTTTTCAGGTGCTTATGAAGACAACAAAAATTACTACCTGAATGTATGATGCAGTAAAATCTATCAGATTGCCTCCTTGTCCCTAAAATCCTCTAAGTGCTTAGGAGCATACACAGGCTTCTATTACACACTGAAAATGTACCTCATTTAACCTAAGTGTGGATATGAACATTAACACAGTTACCACAGACAGAATTCTGAGTTGCAACCTAGTAGTATGTTATAAAGAAAACCAGTAACACTTTCAAGACACGTAAGGCCTTTTTTTAAAAAAAAAAAGTATTTAAAAGGATTTTTAAAAGCATAACTACAGATCTTACCATATCATCCATTTCTTCCTCCTTGCTGTATCTTGCATAATCTTTTCGCAAAGTTCTCATTAATATCATAGACACTAGGCCAACCAGAAAGATCACCATCATAAAAGAATTGAAAATTGAAAACCAGTGAATCTACAAAAAGAAAACACATCCCTAAGGTTTAGGACTGTAAATGTGTTTCAAACTTGTTCCAATAAGGATAAATTGTTGCACAGCAGGACAGCTTGTCAGCACTGGCTAAGTCACAACAGCACGGTACTGTAAGTAACATTACATTTGTAGAAATTCCCACTAAAGCTGGCCCACGAGACACCATGCATAAAGCTTTTCAACAGCCAAGCTTGCTCATGATGAAGCTATCACAGCTCAGTTAAGCACCAGCAAAATTTAAGTAACCAGCTGGGCATGCTCCCTTGGTAAAGGAAAGGCAATATGATGTTCTGCTGCCTTCCTGGAGAAGAGGTTTTACTAAGAGACACTCGCAGACAAGAAGCCAAAGGAACCATTACTTTGCACAGGACCAATATTTGCTGCAGCATTATTCTGCCTCTGACAAGTACATCCTCTAGCTTTCACTGAGCTCCGAACAGAATCCAAACCTTCTAACGTCAGAAAGTAGTACAGCTCAGCATACTGCTCCTAAGAGGATTACAACCATAAGTTTAAACCATTGCAACTGATACCGTCAACTGGGTTAGGAGAATGCTTTTTGCCTTATGTTCACTTCAATAAAAGGTCTATGTATGCAGTTATTCAGCTTACAAGTCGTACAGTTGTGTCCCTGAAACTTCATTGCTTCTGATCATGTGAATATATTTTTTCTTGAACTGCCTTGTCTTCGCTGCAGGCTTGAAGCCTGCCTGCACATTTACTAAAGCACTCTCAAAAAACTAGAGGTATCCTGTTTGAGCAACACATCTGTCACCAAAACCTACAGTCCTAGACCTGCCTGTTTCATTGTCCGAGAACACCTGGAACATTCAAAGATGTCATCCAAAAATTCCTTGACATCTTCTGAACTAAAGCAACCATTTCAAAGGGATATGCTGTAAGGTTGTCTTAGAACAATACATACTCTGTGCTGAAAGAAAGATGGGTCAAGGTACTTGTCAAATCGGTCTTCAAACTTCACATCTGATTTCTTCCATTTCACCTAAAGAGAGAAAAATTTATTCTTGAAAAGCTGATCATAATATGTTCAGCTATACTCACATGCAGAAACCCAAACCGTATTATACAAATCATCCACTTCAGATGCTTTCTTCAATATGAATCTAGGTTTTGGCAAAAACAATGGACCAATATTCCTAATGACTGCTATCTACAGGTCAGACATAGAATGAACATAAGCCACCTTGCCTCATGGATCTGATCTCGTCTATGCCTGTTTAAGAACAAGGAAGAATCAGTCTTGACTGGCTCAGCTCTCGCTGTCTCTGTAAGACTAACCCAAGATGCAAACTTCCAGTTTTCAAACACAAACCCTTTTCATGTTTATAGAAAGAGATCATAAAGATCCTGACAGTGAAGGTGCCAAAACCAAAATCCATCATATTACCCTATTTTTCAGTTTTGTCAAACAAATAGTTCAAAGATGATTGTTTTCTTCCCCACAGTAGGTACTTGTGAAATGTTAAGGCCACACTTCTGAAAAAAGCTCCCAATTTGCCCAAGAGTTCAGAATAAAGGTTAGAGAAAGAAAGCATATTTAAATATATTCAGGAATGATGTGGTAGAAAGCAGTGGAAGTTTTTTTTGCGTGGGTTTTTTTTTTTTTTTTTCCTGACAGCACATTCCCTTTTCTCAACATTTTCATGTGCTGCATTTACATAGAGAGACTTATGGAGAACACTGTCAGTGTTCACTGAGCAATGACAACACCCTCTTTTTCTGCTCCCCCAACGGCAGCTGAGATCTGTTCTGCTGCCACACACTGAGACTAGCATTCAGTGAAATCATCTGCACCTAAACACTCCGAGTACAGTGCCCAAGAAAAAAAGATGCAGTCTAGCAGAAGTGAGGGAAACAAGAAGACATAAGAGCAGATTTAAAACAGATGCCAAAAGGAAAGAAAAGGGCATAAACTGAGATACAAGCTGGCTGGAAGTAAATTGCATATAATGGATCAAGCTGGACCCTAAAAGACAGACCTTAAAATTTTAAAAGCTGCAAGCTAAAAGCTGCAGCCTGAAATCTCTAAGACCACAGGATTCTGCAATCTAGACCCTTCAATTGCTAATGAATAACTCTGAAACCAGCTGGAAAAGTATGTGTTTATGGCCCTACTATCACAGGGTAACAGCACATTATTGCTACCCGTTACTCCACTAGCTGCACAGAGGACTGCTTTGGATTTAGAAGATTTAATTGTACTGATGAACTACAGGGTGCCAACACGGTAGCACAGAGTATCTTTCAGAATTCTTGCAAGACTTCTTTTCATTTTAATTTCAAAATGCAATTTTAGAAATTAAAGACAAATCTACACTAAAATCTTTCCAAAAGCATGCCAAAATTAGGCGATTCCAGGGGTTTTAGTGATCTTGAAACAAATGCAGCCCTCTTGTGCATATCTTTTTAAAATACATGGCAAGGAACTATCCTTTCCAACAGATGCTCTCTTACTCAGTACAGGGGAAAGCATATAAATGTAGACTGAATACTCCTATCACTCACCACAATCCTGAAACAGATTAAAACCCCCAAGACTCAAGTATTACTCACTTAGAGGTATGACATTTATGTTCTTCGGTTCAAATTACAACCTTGTTTGAGATTAGTGGCTTAAAACATTAGCTTTCAACATTGCTTTATGCAGATATATTTCTCATTAAAGCATCTGCCACTAGGAAGCACTGCGTAGAACAAATCCACCAGAGACAATCTGTGAATTAAACACCATGCACTGGCCCAGCAATTGCCCAGTGGTGCCAGCGAATTTTATATGTAAGTCCTGAGCTCTGCCCATTAAAGGTATTTTAAGAGAACATCCAATATTATTTTCATTACTGGCAGCTACTCAGTGCTGTCCACCTCAAAATTCACAGAGCAAGTGGACTTCACAATGCTGGTGGAATTTGAAATAGAAAATTTCAAAATTACTACTATCAATCTTGAAGTATAAATAGGGAGATTAGTTTAAACATAATTCTAAAAGCACATAGAAAAATCAATTATCTGCACTTCAAATCATACAATTTACTCAGCATAAGGCAAATGTAGCAGTGGCAATAATACCCTCTGAAAAAAAAATCTTATGCTGACACCTGTGGCTAACACTGTGTAGAAAAGCAACGCATTAAAAACTAGTTTCAGTATACAAATGTGAACATGGGAAGTGAACGATTACAGATCTAAGTAACATCAAATAAATAAGGAGGAAAACCAAAAACTTTAATTGGTTATCTCAGATCAGCAAACATTGTTTATTCATTACCTTTCATCATAGCAATTCAATATAACAGCAGAGGTTTCAGAGAAAACCTTACTAATAAGGTTATATAAATAAGACAAATTTCTACTGGAACTGCAAAACCAAAATAACCTTTGATACTAACTGATTGCTGAGTATGAAGGCTTACAGTGGGTTTTAGTCCTAGATCAGAATCCAGTTTAAATCTGTGATGTCAGGGCTCCAAACATCAAGAAAATATGTAGCAGGGGATCTTCTATACTTCTAGTCTCCATACCGTTGGGGACATCTTCCTTTTCCATCAAAATACTGCTCTGCATATTATACAACCTTCAGTTTGAAGTGTTTTTTAAATAAATAATAATTTTACATTTATTTACATCATATTCCATTATTATAAACCTACCAAGGTTTGTCAGTAATGAAAAAAAAAGTATTTGAAGGAGTGAAGATGCATCTGCCTCTAACACAGCCTGACATATTAATACATAGTTGTAGGTATAAAAGCACCTATTTTTAAGCTATTTCACCATGAGGAATTTCTTATTACAGGTGCATCACCAAATTACTTACTGAATATGACATCTGGATTTTTGTGTTTGGTACCAATTTCACCTTTCCTTCACTGGTCAGATTGACATCTACAATTCTATTTCCATTGTAACCTATTTCAAGTTTTTTATAAGTCCAAAGGTAATAATCTTCTCCATTTTCATCTGCTTCTCCAACAATACCTGCATAGGAAAAAAACATCTATTACAGGTATGCTTTTCAAATATTGTAATTATTTTTAATATACATTAAAAAAACTTTGCCAGCTATAAACACAGTATTACAGTAAAGAGAACACAGCAGACCTTATGCTCTTCTTTTTAACTATAATACCTGGAATACACCTTCAATCCACAGGTATCTGCAAGACGCATTTTGTAATGGCATTAAAATAAAAAAACATGCAACTAGAAACACTGCAGAAGAAACAGAAGACACAACAGTTCCTCTGGTTTTATTTGGAATTCTTACCAGATAAAACAACTAGCTGAATACAGATTTAATTTCCATGAACAGAACTTCAGCCATGATCTCTATATTTTCCCATCTCCCATCTATCCCTTCACTGATTTTTCTTCCTCTTAAAAATTTTATTTTCATTCTGTATTCATTAGTTGACTCCCCAACACATACCTTTTGCTCTCACTAGCACACAAGCTTCCAATGCTTGCCAAGAATTATAGTTTATGACTACTCTCTATGTTACTGTCACTGAAAAAATCAGAAAAGTTATCATTTACTTGAAGGTTTTCATTACCTCCAAGGTGGAAAGCTGCTCAGATGCTCCTAAAGCATCAGAGCTCGACTGAACTCACTACTAGCCATGATTAAGTTATCACTTTTCAATAAATTACTGCAAATTGTCTAATCTACTACAGAAAAATTCCAGAGAATGTACTATGCCGGGGGAAAAAATGCAAGTCTAGCAGTCACCAGGTTCATAGGCTACATGCGTCCTCTTCAACGTCAAGACCATCATCCTAAAGATAACATACAAAATGGATAGCCACAATAAAAGCAGCACAAGATAGTCAAAGGTGGGGGGAGCGGGAGAACAAGAAGGTGAAGGATATGGAACAGGTTATCACGAAGCAGCAGGTATATGAAGGAATGGCACTTGTGCATTACCTGTGGTTTTTAACTTTCAAGGTGGTATTTTTCTGTCATGTTTTTTATTCATGCTCATCGCTCAGGATTGCCTTGTGTGCACCATCCACATGAAACACGTGCGGGTTTGTGCCTATGCCATACAGCCCAGCACCTGGCATACCATCTGTTCCCACGGTAGTATCCAAAACCATGACTACTTAAAGGACATTCTGATCAATCACTACCTGAAGGAGCGAATTAACATGGTGCTACGTATACTTAAGGAGATGCTCTGCAACAAAGACAGTCAAGCCTAGATGCTTCACTGCTGGATAGCAATTCAGGAAAAAATAGAAAATGCAATTGTGTTATTTGAATGCACTTAAAAAGATCTGGTTGGCTTTTTCAGGTCAGAAAATAAAGCATAAACTTTCCAAAACCTCAAACAGGAGTCTGCAGTCATTACCTTTAGTTATCAGCAGTTAAGAGAAGTTATTTTATGTCTAGTCTTTAGCGAAAATAGAGTACTCCTTACTGGATATTTTGAGTACTTCCTAAGGAGAATTTTGAATATCAATGGTTGTGCGTTGACTTTGACATCAGTAAGCCTTATCAAGGTGGAAAACCATGAAGAACATAAAACGTGAACTTAAATAAAGTTAGCCAGAAGACAGGACAACAGGTACAAATCCATCTGGATGAGCCCAGAGAAGTGAGCAGTCTGCTTTAAGAACAGAATTAAAAGAGACACTGCCTAGAATTCACAGCAAACATGAATACCACCTGAATACTTCAAAGTCTTCAGAGAATACTCACTTTCTTTTGGTAGCACAAAAAAGGACTCTAGCCATTTACATTTAGAGAACAAAATTTTCGTTTAATCCAGCTACAAGATACAAACCAGCAATGAGAAAATAGTGGATTGGGCGATACAGTCCATACTACATGCTGGCTAGTAGGGTTCTCAGGAAAGGTACTCCAAATGTGGTGAATCAACATGATAGCTTTCACAAAGAAATAAAAAAGCCATTTCAGCACAAAGTATTTTTAATATCAAGTTAAGGGTAAGCCGTTATGGACATTATCTTACTAAGACAAAAAAAGCTTCTCAGTAATCAGAGTATTTCAGAGATGCCATCATAATTACTGAAGTTCTTACTTTGTAAGACACATGGCTGGAGGAGCCACGTGTATGATAGCTTCACACCACATTCATAACAGTAATATTTATAATGAAAACCCTTCAGCGAGCAGCAAGTCTCAGAGCTCTAAGTTTTAGGCGGCATTTAGAGCCTGAAATATTTCTACTGCTGAACAGAGACCCAGCAAAACCAGAATTAATGCGGATGAGTTATAGTCATAGTTTTCTAAACTGTACTTGGAACACAAAGGTCAGAAAGACTTGTTCAGATCTGCAGATAAACACTTCTCATCAGTTCAGATGCATTCACTCCTTTCTCAGCCCCCCACTGAGAATTGTTTAATTTTCTGGAATAAAAAACAGGCTAATATTGACTGACCAATCTGCAGTCCTGAAAGTTTTACCTAGCCCTCAGGAGTCATAGACCAAAATCTTCAGCGCCGCTTCCTTTCACACCTGATGTCAGATTATATCCTTGCATAGTATTACCAGCACTTACAATGCTGCAGTCATCTATTAAGTATCAAAACTTGAGGTTCTGGTTCAAACTGTTATCAAAACCAGCTTTTTAATATCACATGAAGATGATAATTAGATTCCATGTTAGCTGTGGCATTAGGACGATGACTTCTGCATACAATGCATACTACTGAAGAACGTGAAAAGCACTGGAATCACAGTAAAAAAGATTTTTCAGCTGCGAGCATAAAATTTAGTCAGTGTGTAGAAGATTTAGTAAGTATATTTGGTCTTCAGTATTTGAGGCAAGAAAAGCTGTTCCCAAGTAAGATCAGAAAAATCAGTCCTAAAAAAGAAATCCTCCAAAACTCACTACCCACATGGGATTCCAAAGAAGTCAGCTTAGCATCCATCATACTTCGGCAGTCTAAAGCCTACGTAGCTGCCACTAACCTAGGAAAATCATTCATTGATCTTTTGCTGAAAAGGCCAAAAGCATACGAAACACTGTAGCAACAACTGTCACTCATGCATGCTTTTTAAAAACCTACCAGCAATTGCACAAATACAGTGAAGGCCACACAGATTAATTAGGGTCTACCCCAAGCCCTGCCCCAGAGCTGTTACACACACTAAGCAAATCAGCTGAAAAGAACAAATTTAATATATGAGTACCGATCCTGTCAGGCATTATAATTTTATCTCTTAAAAACACATACATTTCTAAAAAAAAAAAAAAGCAAGGACCTTCCTGACTAACAGATAAAAAAATAAATTGATACATAAAGCACTATCATTTCTGGCTGGGACTCATGTTCATCAGGTAGCTACTTTCTAAAACCAATTAAAAGTTAAAAAATCCCACCCTCTGTCAGAACAAATGATGAGTAGCATTATCCAGCGCACTACCTATCAAAAGACTTTTATCATGTGGCTTGAACTGTACTTTTGTAGGTGTTGTGGGATTTTCTTTATGTTGGGTGGTTTTACCTCCTTCCTGGAACACAGGCAACAAAGACCTCATGTTTTGTGGTGTTTTAAATTTCCCTTCAGTTTGTATCTACAATGGGGCTTGCGGAGTTTGGCTGACTGCTATCAATGCAAAGTACAATCTGCAGAGCACTCTTTACCAGGTATGTGATCACAGGTTACAAGGGAGTAACAAAAAACAGTGCTTACGAGACGAGGGCGATATGGACACATACATTCTTATTCAAGACACAAGCACTTCTAAGCCCAGATTAATAATACTCAGCAAGAGCAATTTTAAAAACTGTGTAAGAATAAGTAAAATAAAATTCCTTCATATACCCACAGAATGCACATGCAAAACTGTGAGAAGCCACTAAACTACTACAGAAGAAAATCAAATGGCTCTTGCATCAGTAACAAACACAAGAACTAGCAAAATAAAGTTTAAAAATCGAAAAAGTTATTATTCATGAACACATTCATGAACATGGGCCTTACATCTGACCTATCTAATCACCACTCAAACATTTAAGAGAATTTAATCCAAAGAACTTGGTATTATTAAATCAGTGCTTAAGAAGTAACAGCTTTTCACTGTTTTTGTAATTCACTAGCACAAGCCATCCTACTCTTCTTTCACTGCAAGAAACTTTCAACTTATTTGTATTACTTTATTCCATAAGCTCTACATACTTGTGAGATTCTCTTAATAAAGCTTAGTCATTAAACAACGCCATGAAACCCACTGGCACAGGACTCCTGTAGTTGTAATCCAGTTGTTTACACGTAGTATCACTCACCCCATATTGGCAAGTCATCAATATACATCTGGTACCAATAGTGATTCTTGATAGCATACACAAACGCATCTCTTCTGCCTTTGTCCAAGTCAATTTCACAGTAGGTAGTCTGCATTACATCGTCTGCAGAATAAAGCACAGTTAATGATTTATTAATGAGCTGGCTCATAGCGTGGGCAAACCAAGTACATGGAAGAACGGACATTGCTGGAAACTTGAACCTCTCATGGCTATCCTCAAGTAGGTAACAAAAAAGGACATCTAAAAAGGAACCACTAAGCAATTACATGATTGATTTTATAATTCTACCCTTCCGCATGTAGAAGCTTCCCACAGACTGGAAAAGGAAAGTTTTCAAAGTACCCTTTTGCTACTTCACCCACACTAAATTATGATCCATTAGCCAATGGCAGCTTTACCTGGACAGACCATGAGACCTAACACAAGGTATGAAATTATTAACAAATACTTAAAACAGGCTCACTGACTAGAAATACTGTTCGTAAAAACTGAAACTTTTTTTAAGTTCCCAGCAGTTTTCAAGAAACTACCATAAAGGAAGAAATAAAGAAGAGTAAAGGTAGAAAAAAAGAGGACAGAAGACAAAAATAGGAACAACACTAAGAACGCAAAAGCGGCTGCACTTGGAAATAAAATAAATCCACCTCTTCGAGCCAGAAGGCTATTTTTCCCTATCTACAATTCATATTCAATGCAGTTAGCAGCTATTCTTTCACATCCCAATTTCCTTCCCTAATGTTTCATTTTCAAGTGAAAAAGACAAAAGGGCTCATATTTACAAGACTTCAGGCAGCAACAGATTTAGAGACAACACATGCACACACCCCCGGCCACTTCCTAGTAAATGTTTTCACTCTGCAAACAGTGAAACAAAGTGAGCGTAAATTCCTAGCAGATAAAATTAATTTGTGTCACAAGTACAGCTCTAATCTGTATCACAATTCAGGTTACTTTCTCCTGTATACTAACTGCCATATAAAGCTTAGAAAGAAAATCCAATCACCCACACAGAAAAAGCAAAGCCAAGCAGAGTATTTCCAACACAAAACATTATTTCTCTGATTTTGACAATGTGTCAAAACGAAAATGTGCACAGTCAGGTCACACCAAACTGAAGCAGAGCCTGGTGAAGCATGATGGTTAGAAACCAGACAACAGTCCTGCATAGCTGCAGTGATTTCCTACAGCCCCAGAGAAAATAGTGCCCCTGGCTATTCCAGAATGGATGCATCTCTTGCTCCTGTTTCTTATGAAAAATTTAGTATTTTCTATTTTGGCTTCTTCTAAGACATAACAAATGCACTCTGAGCTTCATTTTTTCACTGAAATAAAAAATTTCAGACTGACTTATGAGACAAGAAAACTTTTGCTGGGGGGGGGAAAAAAAGATGTGTGGGGGGGGGGGGGGGGTGGAAGAGAGAATAACAAAACCATTCAAGTCAACAAGTGTCCCAAGAAGACTTCTAGACCATAGATTACGTTTTCAGGACCTGTACTCGTACATTCAGTAGAACCATTAAAGTTGGCACCACAGCTGAAACACATTACAAATCCAGGCCTCAGTTTGCATTTACGCCTCTACTGAGCTGGAGCCGTACTTTTTGGACTATATTCTCCCAAAGATGCCTCTGCTTTGCATTTTTTCACTTTAACAGATTTTTTGAGTCATCACGACATTAATTAAAAGAAAAAAATAATCCCTATCTTCTGGATTTGTTGCAAAGTACGCATTAATTCTTTCCAAAATCCTTGGCACTTTATTGTTATTCTCTAGCAGTTTCATACTATACTCAAATAAAGGATAACACCTTTCTAATGTTAATTTTTTTAACTCATATAAGTTCAACACACAGACATCAAAAAATGTACTGTGAATTAAAGCAAGGGTGAAAGAGAAACTGGTAGAAGCTGTTATCTGAAGCGTTACCTAGCACAGAAGCATGGAAGCCTGATCTGGGAAGTGCCACAGGAGCCAGGCTGGTTTTAAGTGGCTCTCTCCTGACTGGTTCACCCACACACACAGCAGTCCCAGCACAACTCAAGGACAGCACAGGGATAAGAGGCAAGTGCTACTAGTGAAATAAAAGTAACACAAACCACAAGCATTCTTTTTAGAAACCTTTCCTATTTTATAGCCTGAATACAGCAGCCTTTGTTTGCAGTTATTAACCAAGACAAATTAGGTATTAGTCTGTAATACCAAGTTACTCCATGGGCTTTCAGACCCCTGGAATTTGCCCCTTTTTTCTCTCCCCTCTCCTACTAACTGAAATGAGCCATTCTCCATCTACTCTGGGATGTAAGTAGAGGCTTTTGTTGCTGTAACAAAACAAAAAATACTCAATAAAACAAAACAAAAAGTCATTTGATGTGAAATGCCTGCACTGACATCTGATCATGCTGCAGACAGAATACGCACCAAAAAACTGTCTTCAACCATTTTTATGGATTTTACTCTCAGAACTCTGAATAGCAAAAGACATCGCAGAGATGATATAATCAACTGTAGATCAACTATGTTAGGAATTACACCACTGCACATACACAAAAAACCCAGAAGACCACCGCACGCAGTTCCTGCAAAACACAGGTGTAACTTTACGTATGCTGTATGATTTCACCCTCAGCCATACTACACGGTAGAGTTCCTCTCCTGTCCCCTAAAACAACTGACTGAAGGCAAGAGGAGTGAAGACAAGTGCTCCTTTCTTCAGCCACTGAGAATGCTGAATCTGTTGTTTAGTTACAGGACAGGATGAGGTGGTTAAACTTCAGTCCGCTGTGTTAACTGATTAAATGGAAGTAGCTTAGAACAGCGTTCAGTGGCTGGGGAAGCTGAAGTCTACTTCATTACAGCTTTACCAGATCCAACCATGTGTATGTTAGATAACTCTTATCCCAGCTATAGTTGTGCGTGAAGTTAGAAGTATGTTTTGCCTTGTGTCTTCACCAGGGATGTCAAAGAGGTAATGTCTGCCACATAATACAGCTTTGGCAATGTCAGTGGCACATGAAGCAAATATTAAACAAGCACGAAAGCAAGGGTAGTTAGAAAAGCAGGTGTGCTTATGTCAGATTTCAAATTTCATATGAACAGTCCGATCAGCTGGATTTTTTTTCCACACATACAAACCATATAAAACCTCACTATATCTGACCATCTCCTAGAACACTGAACATCTTCCTGAATGGCTGTCCTATTTTCTAGAGGTGTTGCAGAAGGAAGTCTTGGGCAAGGATTTCTCACGCAGAAGGACTATCGGTTAATAATGTTTCTAAATAAGCTCAAAATTCAAGTATGTTTAAAAAAAAAAAAATCCTTCTCCCCTTTAAATTCATCTTCTCTAACCAGGATTGTATGGCAATGTCAAAAAACAATTTTCTAATGATGTCGCTAGGAAGCCGCTGTTCAATACATTTAATAATTCACTAGGTCTCAGGTGTAATGTAGAGGATGTCAGTTCAAATGCTTGAGTAAAGAACTTGACATGTTACATAGAAAGCACTCTAGGTGTAGCTTGACAAGAGAATTAAGCCAACTGAAAACTTAAAGTTATATTACAATATAAGTGTACGTTAATAACTAATTTATACAGATTTGAGACCTGTGATACAAGAACAACATTGTTCATATTTGTAACAGAAGGGAAATGCAGCCACCCTGTGCAGTCACAGGTATTCTTTCACATGACACCTTTTTAAATATGAAAAGCAACACTACTTTGTGGATTTCTGAATACACTGTAGATTTGCCCTGCCAGTCACCACAGCAAGCATTCAAGTGGAAACCTCCATTCATTCTCAGCAGAACACACTTCTGCAAAGCCGTTATTTTCTTATTCCATTTCAAAAAATACAGGCAACTGACGGTTTTACTTACACAGTCTACAGTGTTCAGTAACCGACAGCTGCAGTCTAAATAATTCTTCGAATATGATGAACATGCAGTTTCACACTTACCTGCTACTGCTGTCCAGTCACACGATCTTGAGAAGGAAACTGGGTTTTATTGCAGAAGCTAATTTGTAACAACAGTTCTAATTCCCCTTTACTGACTCCAGAAGATAAAATTCTAGAAGTATAAAATCCAAATCTGATCTGATCTTGTGAACCCTTACAACACTCATTTAAAAAGGAAAAATACCTGTAATTTTTAGTCTTGCCATAATCTCAAACACACATGAGGACAAACTATTATCGGTTAACTCAGGACTTAGATCTGATTCACTTATTCATGAAGAAAATCTGTACAAGTCTTTCAGACATCCATGACAACATGTTGAAAAGCAGGTCCCTATGGCTAGATACTTAAATGCACATTCAAGCATCTAAATGATTATTGAAATGTACTTGAGTAGCTCAATTATTTCAGCTGTAGATGTTAAATACTCAACCCTCCTTGAAGCCATATCTTTTTCTTAAGAACACATGAATCATATAAACCAAATATCGGTGCCAAAACATAAGCTTCTGTTGTTAAGAAAAAAAACAACACCCCTCCACAAATCCCCAACAACTCTGTTTCAATTTCATTGCAGCAATTTCTAGACTACTGGTACAGAGATGGGAGCACGAATCAATCACAGTAAGATAAAATTTATCCATAACGAAAAAAAAAATTAAATGCACTGATACAATCCAGTTACACTTTTTTAAACAAGTGACCACCACTTCAGCCAAGAGCAACATGTACCATTAAAGAGTCACCAAAAATACCTAAGCTATCATCACATTTCAACAGCCAAACTGGAAAAGAATTATTTATACAAATGCTAAATTTTAAGGACTGGTCTATGAAATTTAAGTTTTCCTACACGCATTGGATATAAACTGTACTGGGTTTACGATAGCTTTCAATCCTGAAAAAAGGAATCACAGATAGCGGTCTTTTGCTCAGTTGTTTTTAACTCTGAAAACCTGTCTATCAAGGGGATTTGGATGTCAACAAATTCTACATAATTGTATATTAAGTACTAATAACTACTGCTACAATTACTTTATACTTGTAACTCTAAAATTTGGAAAAAAGGACATTTTAATACTTTTAATAGCAGATTAAAGATAGTAAAATAGAGTTGACTTCCATTCAGATTTCACTTCATGGATCCACTGCTAGCAATGCACCTCCTGATATAGAAGCTTCTGGATGCCAGCTAACAGCAAAGAGATTATTGTTCACATTTTTTATCCAGAGGACACAGATTGTAAGGGAAAAAACTAGAAGTGCATATGGACAGCTTCCCAGATCCCATACACATACTTAGTCAACCACCAGCTACCATGTACCATCTGCTTTATAGAAAACATCTGACCTGCAGCCACTTCGGTTGGGAGTTAAATTCACTGCAGGTCCAATACAGATTAGCAATCTACACAGAGCACCAATGCGCTATTAATAATAAATAAATGAGTAATAGGCAACAAAGGACATAGATGAAGAGGAATTCCCCAGCAGGTGGGAAGTGTACCAGCACATCAATCACACTCACAAGCCATAAAGACCTGACTATTTCCGAAATCTCTACTCTTCCATACCCATTCCAAGCCTGTTTTGAACGACATCATGCCCAGCCTGTCTAGAAGAATATAGCAACTACATACCTGGTATGCACTTGTAAAGCCATTAGAGGTGCAAAAAGACAGCTGAAAAAACGGTATGAGCAGACCAGACCTTAAACTCTGAAGAAATTGCACTGAACTTTTCACAAATGCTTGTGCTGCTGCTCTGACACAGAAAGCTTTAGATTTTTTCTAAGTATTATTTATTGTGAATCAGAACCCAAGATTCATAACCTGAATGTCAAGTAAGACTTAAGGAAAACAGGTTTGCTTGTCGTAAAGAAATATAGAAGACTACAGATAGATTAATATGGCAGGGACATAATCAAAACCAAAATAACCACAAGGTGCAAAAACCACCGCACTTTTCCACCATTCTGAATTCATGCTAGTCCAGGATAACTTTGGCTCCCTGTAGTTCTGAATTCCAAAAGGCTTCTCTTAACCAAATAGGAATGGTAACAGTTTCTGTGTTGATGAACTGGAAGTTCAGTATTACCCAAGTTGTACTTATTGTTGTTTAAGAAAACAGATGTTCAGTATCTTTTTTTCCAAGTGTTAAAGAATTCTTTAACAGAAACTCATAAATTTCTCCATTATTAGGCTATTTTACAGAAGTATTTGAGAGTGTATTCACAGAAGAATGGATTTGTCCAATGCCCTGCTTCTGCATATTTCCCTCAGAAAGGGCAGAAAACACTCTGGAAAGCTGAACTACATCTGACTACAGTGTGGTCACAAGAACAGACAAAAGATAAACTGACAGTTTCATCTAGCTCACCTGTTATTTCAGGAAAAATACCATGAACGTGCTTTACCAATCTAAATAAAGATGAACATACTTTACCAATTTAAACCAGTCTGACTACTACTGCGTACACTTCTGGTACAAGAGGGTCTAGCTTTTTCAGACTCCTAAAGAAGAAAATCTTTCAAGCCTTTCAGCCAGTTCCTGCACTTCAGCCAGTCCGTTTCCTCCTGTTGATATCATCTCAACGCTTCCACTACAAAAACAGATTACTATAAATTCCTACCTCCAGGACAACAAGGAAAAGGGCAGGTCCAGGACGGAAGTGCTGAAAAGTGAGCTACAGAACAGCTCAACCTGCTCAGTACTCCCAGTCACAAAAAGAAAGACAATCTAGCAAAATTTTGCTATGACAGGGATAAATGAACTATGGATAAACTTCAGAAAATAAATCTGGAAACAGGACATTTCATAATAGCAAATATTCACTCACAAACCTTCAGTCTTTTCAATTCAGTGCTGCATCTAGAGAGCACACTTATGAGTGGAACAACACCATCTCTTTGTAAAGATGGGGCAATTAAAGGAACTAAAAATTACACACATAACAGGCTTTAAAAATAAGTATTTATTATATTCTGACAATAAAAGTTTTACTTAACCTTCATGGCCACGTTGAATTGTTGCCAGTTGCCTTCTCTGTTTTTTCCATTTTGAGTTTCTGAGCATATTCTTTGAGGTTTGACAGGAAAACTATTTCTCCAATACTGAATAAAATTTTCAGCAGGCTACAAATCTTGCAAATCAGTAATAGGACTGTTTTCCAGTGTTTGTTTAGGTGCCGTTCCTTTCTTAAAAAGGAAAGATTCAATTCCAAATTCCTTTAATGCAGAGATGCTATCCCCTATGCAACTTAAAAATTTATGATCGATTCATGGTTTTAACAATCTTTTATTCTACTTCTTCTACTTACAACACACCAAGTGTCTTATTTTGCAGATGTCCAGTTTTGGATAAAAGCTTTATAACTAACAGAAGCTAAGACCCATCTGATTGCAAATGCTCAGACAAGAGACACTATGCTTAAGTTCTCCATCCAGTTAAGCACTGATGATGGAATGAAGTGTAGCCCTCTAGGGAAATAAATGCATGTACACCGAAAGCCAAACTGGATTAACTATATAAATGCTAAAATTCAAATTATGCAATGAACAACTTAGCCCCTAACACCAAGAAATGTATTTGCAAAAGAAGTTAGATACCATCTCTGGAACAGTATGGAAAGAGGGAGAGGGCAGGAAACGGGGAAAAAAAAAAAAACAGACCAGCTTCATCCTGACTGGCATATGATGAGTTAGAGACAATAATGTAAAGTTATTTGTCAAAGTTATGTTACACTAGACAGTCACCAGAAGGATACAATAATTAACTTTGTATTAAGGTAGAACTTTGAGATGTTGAGCCCCTGCTACTCCTTTCCAACTGCAGAGAGTCTGCAAGTATTTAACATCACAGGAAAAAATTCCATCTTCAGAATGGGTAATTCCAGAACGTTAATTCCCATAAATATACTGCTAATCATTCATAGACAGAAAGCTCAGTTTTACTTTATAAAACATAATCACAGTTGCTTCAGAAGCATGTATCTGCTGCAAGCATCTTCCTTAAAGGGCATGTAGATGAAAACTTTCCTATAAGCTGAAAAGCCAATGGTAGTAGACAACCCTGCAGGGCATTTCAAGCAACAATATGAAATACTTTCAGTTGCTGGCAGCAGCAAACTTTCGGTTCTTCTAGTTCAAAAACTGAGTTTTACGGTTTGTGAGGTTTTTTAAGTGAATTGCTTACCTTTAAATTTGATGTCAAGACCACTAAATTCCAATTCAACTCCTTGAAGTGCTTCTCCTAGGGTTTCATGGTAATGGCTGATGCTTTTTTTTGATCCCACACAGAAAGGGAGAGAGAAGTATTTGTACGTTTCTTGGCGATTGTGGTAGGGTCCTACTGTATTCATCCACAAAACAACTTCCTCTTTATCTTGGTACTGAAAGATAAAGTTATTGAGTTAGATAAGAAGTCCAGCAGAATAAAAATATTCAAGAAACTCATTCATATTAACTAGCAAGGCACTGAGTCACAGGCAACAGTTGCATATAGAGACAGTATTTTTGTCTTTTGGGTGGCAGGGATTCTAGGACAGGATTTTCAGCCTGCTTTCCTAACAAAACAAAACAAAACAACAACAACAAAAAAAAGCTTAGTTGATCATACAGTTCTTAGAGCCCATCACTGAAGTATCAGAAGTGGAGGATTCATACAAATTTAATAGAGAAGCAGAAGATGCAGAGAGCAGAAGTAGAGAAAAGCAGAAGTCTCAAAAATAAAAAAGCTTTTACAAATTTTGTGGAAACACGCAACAGTTAAATGCAAAACTCTACTTACCTCCACTGAGAGAAAGGGAAATACCAGCCTAACATCTTGTTAAAAAAAGATCTTAGGAAGTAAATCAGGCTATCTACTTATGAGGACAGGTATACTGTATTTTCCTCAAATGTGACTCCTTTTCGTATTTATAATGGTATAAATTACATTCAAAATTCCCAGAAGAGCGCAACGCACAAGAAGCACTAAAATTAAACTGTGGCATACCTACAGTAGCCAAGAGACAAAGAAGTCAGACAGAAGGACTATATTTTCATGCATTCCCAACATTCTCACAGTGAAAAAACAGAACAGCAAGGAAGCAAGGAGTATGGTGGCTGCCATGAAATTCTTTCTGGGAACATCCACCCTTCACTTTCCACAGCTACTGTTAGCCAGGAAAACTTATTCCTTGGCTAGGAGCCAGTGATTTTTTTTTTTTTAACAAGCCCTTATAACTTTTCAACAACAGCAAAGTCCTTAAAGTCATCCATCTATCAGTATTTAAATACTGCATGCATTCAGGAGAATTAGGTGATCTGAAATCATTACTTGCACTGTATCTGAATGCATCTGGATAAGGTATAAGGTTTGCTGCTTACTACAAGGCCTCTCACCCAAAACAACTTCTTCACCTACTCTAATTTCAACAGACCAGGAGAGACAGTTTTAAGGCAGGAAAAAAACCTACTTATACCTGCACACACCTGCAAGCACAATCACCATACAGATCCTGATTTTTTTTAAAGTACAGAAGAATAAAGTACCATTTTAAGACCAATACACAAAAATAGAACACTCTGGAGAGGAAAAGAAAGTCAAACGGTAATTAGACGTAACTATTTCATAGTACAGAGCTGAAATGCTAAATTCAGTTCTGCATCTCCCTTTTAATAAAGGTTCTTCAACTCCATTTATTCTGAATAACCACAGTCCTACCAACAGGGTAACTGAGAAATAACATGTGGAATACAATAAATTCTTCAGATGAGGTCTTTAAAAATTAAACTCAAGGATTTAAAACAAAAATGCTTTGGGAAATAATCCCCTAACACATCATCTTAATTATAAGCCTCTTTTTGTTTTTAACATAGATGCACAAGAGTCATTCTAGCCTCTCATGTGCGTGATCTCCAACAAGAAACTTTAAGTATCATACTAATTTCATTCTGAGATGCAGCAGAGACCAAACACCAGTTTCACAAACCTGCCCATTTGCAGAGCACACATTTGAGAACATTTCTGACAGGTAAAGAATATCAATGAAGGAGCAAAGAAAGAGTAAACAACACAGTAAGAGAAAGTAAACATTCCTCCTCTCTGCCAGCAACCAGAAAGGTTATATCAGTGCAGCACAGCTGTCCAACTTCAAAGAAAGTTGGGAAAGAAGGAAGAAAGAAAGAAAAATCACTTGCAGCCCCTATCAGGAGCAAAAGCAGATAGTGGAATCTGTACTACAATACTGCCTCTAGCTCTTGCAAATGTAGCAAGGGACAAGTTGGTCCATATCTCTTTCTAGTCTGTTGTGCCTAGCATATCTTCTGTCTCTTCCTCTAACAGCTGCAGAACATATTTTCAGCCCTTTCTCAAAACGGTCTTCACTTGTCAAGAACCCACTTTAGCATCACTCCTTGTAAAGCAACAGCTTACATGTGAACCAAGCTACGTGTCTGTCCAACATTCAGTAATAGAATATGACGGCATCCTTAGGCCTGTGAATCCATCTGTGACAGTGCCTGAATAAAGAAAGCACTGACCACGGCTTTACTTAGCTTCTTGTTTCTGACCTGCTGCATACTGAGTTGGGAACTCTGCATTTTCTGAACTATACCAGATCCCCATCAAGTGAGAGAAACCAACTTTTTAAGAACATATTAATCAAAATCTTGTTATGTTTTCTGTTCTAATAATGTGACTACATTGTAATTACAACATGTACAATAATAAATTTGGTCTTTGTCTCTTATCCACATGATGCTTAAGCCCTCCCTTCATGGCCTACAAGACACCATCAGTCTGCTCTGGAAAGAAAAGGGACCAAACCAAACAGAAGCAAAGAATTCAGTCCACATTACTTCCTCCTTTCTCACAACCACCCCAGAACAGCCCAAGAGAAGTCTGTTGAGTACTGCTATAAATGAACACAGCACCTCAGCCATCCCAGGCTACACCTCACTCACAATCAGCAAGTACCTAGTCACAGCAATTAGCAGTCCATCAGGTGCTCCAAGTGCCTTCCCAAAATTAAGAGGGCTGTAGTAGGAAACCCAGCTTAAGAAACTTCAGCCTGAATTAGTGTGTGTGTGGGGGGGTGGTGCTGTCTGGTAGAAACTCAGATTTTATTCACCCTGTATTTGTTGGGGTTTGCTCATTATCAACTATAAAGATGAGCTTTCACCTGTCACAACGTATCTCATATAATCTTATCCTAGTGGTATCAAAGAGTTAGTTTGTGGTGAGGTTTTTTTGTTTTTGTTTGTTTGTTTTTCTTTTTCATTACTGCCTTCATAATATCAAAGCATCTACCACAAATAAGAGGGTCAACACACTTACAGGAAAACAACTCTTATTTAGGCAAGACAAAGAACTAGAGTATCTTGTAAGACAGTTCTACCACCTCTGTATGAGGACTTCTAGGTTGGGAGAAGCCTAACATACAACATACCTTCCAGCAAAAATGTCACACTACGAGAGAGATAACAGAGTAAGTTGTTAAAGAAAGCCATGGTTGCAAGGTAACCACAGCACTCAGGTACACTGGATCAGTACCATTCATATTTCAGTCAGCACATTCATGGTCAACCTTGCAGTAGTTTCAACTACCCTCACGTTCTTTTATATCTTCTTTCAGGCCATGTGGAGTCTCCTGCAAACTGTGTAGAACTTGGAGCCGTACAAAACAGGAAGAAGATTTCAGCAATATAAAACTTGCATAACCAACCGTAAGTGTAATAGCTTCCTTATCTTCTGCTATATAATCAGCAAGCAAAATACTTTGACTCATTGAGATTCCATCAGATCCTAGAAAACATTAATAAAGTATCAAGAACTCCCTATCAACACAGGTACAGAACAAACAAAAGACGAAGTCAGCTACAATGTGCAAGAATATCCACATCACAGATCCAATGAGTTAAACTCATCAAGAACAGCTGTCATTGTAAAAGACCTAAATAAAAATTTCTTCTCTTGTTCCACATACGACAAGGGTCCTGAGTCACTATTTGATCCATCACTGCTGTAGAACTTTTAGTAAAGAAAAAAGCTTACTCCTGTTACAGCTACATGTAAACTACTGAGGCTTGCAACAAGGGCAAATAGTAATTAAGTAACATGTCAAATGGTAAAATAGTTTGAAGGAAAATTAATGATCTGCAGAGTAAACTCCAGACAATCTGAGTGACAAAATCTAGAGTTACACTTATGTGCCAATGTAATTTTATCTTCGTCCCTTATGAAAACAAGTGCCAAACATCGTCCTAACATGAAGGACTTATTTTGCTGTGCTGAAGTACTGCTATTTCAGTAATACTTTTTTGTTCTTCATCCTCTCTCCTGACTTGTTTGCACAGAATTAGATGGTGGTAAGGCAGCTTTTCACATGCCAGAAGACAGACACCAGCATCCTACGAAAAACACAGAAACTGACAAGGCACAAAAGGTCAACAAATAAGATGCTGCAATCTGCACCCTGCTATATCTCAGCAAGCTCTTCTGGTTTTGGTTCATATGCAGGGACAATATACTCCATATAGCTCAGAGATCCTAATTAAATTCACAGACACAAGCATTTAATAACTTGGTAATAGTGCCTGAATTCACAGAGCTCACCACTTCCAAATATGAGAGAAGGCTACAAAACACAATTTTAAATACCTTTTACTTACTCTAAGTTATGAAAAACGTAGTATTTGTTCTGTAAGCATAGCCAGTTTGGCTGCCCATCTTTTTCTGCACTAAGCTTAATGTCAGCTCAGTAACTTCAGTAACAATATAGAATATATAATGATCTATTTCAACTGTGTAAAACCACAGGGACAGCCTGAACAAGTCTCGGCATCAACACAAGTTACCCACCATACGGTGCTACAATCTGATTAATGTAAGGGGGGTAAACCTTCAGAAACTTTTTCCCGTAACTGCCACCCAGGAGGTGTGGGCCAATCTGTGCCACAAGTGCAGCCACGTACCAGCTACAGCCCTTGTCGCAGCTGGGGACATCTGTTCCAAAACAGCACAATCTGGTCCCACTGGCTATAGGGAAGATATGCGCGTGCAAGCTAAAATCACATTAAACCCATCTATAACGGCAACAAGGCAACACTACCATCCTAGTCCCCTGCAAAATATCAAACTGGCGCGAAGCTTGCACAGCTTGACCCAGCCAAGCACAGACTTCTTCCATGAAAATACGGCTCCTGAAAATTCGGGCGTGTTTGCCACTGTGAAGCTTAATACAAAGACAATTTCCATACATCTCTCTGTTTTAAAACCATAGCAATAGTGAGGTTATATTCAGCACAGTATATATTCAGCACGGATCTCTCCTTCCTGTTATCCAATAGGGCACACGTGATGTGGAAAGCAACTTAATGTCCTCTTTGCACAACCATAGAA